TAACAGGAACCGAAGACCCCTCCGTGGAAAATAGGTAGCTGCATTCGAAGGCTTAAAAAAGAAAAGGTGCTCTGCACGGAAAATAGATTAGAATTGGACACAGTTGCAATTTGCAAAAATGGAGGCAAGGGAGTGTTGGGCTCTGGAGTCAGAGTCCACCGGCTCCGTGGACTTGAGGCAAGGTGCCTCAGGTCTCTCTCTGCTTCCTCACCTGTGACATGGGCACGATGAGGGCCTCAACCCCAGGGCCGTGAGAGTTCCCCAGGGCATGGAGCAGAGGAGTTGACCGTGATTAAGACATGGGTCCAAACAGCATTACAAAGGGCACTTTTCATCAGGCTACTGTGAACCAACAAAGTCAGGAAACCTTGGAAATAAGATTTGTCATCTTGTAGGGGAGGCTATCTTTATGTGAGAGCTGTCTTCGTAGTTACCTGTGGTTCAGAGTCTCCTTTCCTCAGCCACAGTAAACGGGGATCCTGAGGCTGGGGCAGAACGTAGCTTTCTTCCATGTTGCTGGCAATTTAGTCTTTGGTGGGTTCAATTTGGAGCCTGACCACGGAGGTGGGTTCTAGAATCACATGTCCTAGGAGGGTCCAGATGTTTCCCTCCTTTTTGGAGAAAGCAGAAGATCTAGGCTACTTTCCCCAGGCAGAAACACCAGAAGGATCCTTTTTTTTCATAAGACCCTCAGGCCATCACAGTTTACATCCAGGGCATCATAAAGACCCTTCAAAAATTTTTGGTGGTATTTATGATAAGAAGTCACTGGTCAAGAAAGAGAAAGACACCTCTTTCCTTCCCCTTAACTCGGAACGAGCGCTCGGCTGAGGGAATGTGCTTCAGGACGATGCTCTTGGCTCAGAAAACTTGCCTGGCCGAGGACTTGAACGCCAGTCGGTTGCACTAGAAAGGCAGCTCCAGAGGGCAGGGTTTTGTGTGTTTGGTTCCTTGGTTTGTCTTCAGCGCTAAGATAGAGAGAGTAGGCACTCAATCCCTATTTGTCAAATGAATGAATAAATGTGAGTTAGCCAAGGGGTTAATATGTAAAAAAACGAATCTCCGAAATCAGGTGACTTTTCTCCTCTCAGTAACTTGTGCAACACAGGAGGTCCTTCCCTGTGTGGTGTCTCCACACCACCCATCACACACCATGGGCTCCCAGCCACGCCCCAGTCCCAGGAGCTCTCCCTTCCCCATCACCTGCCTCGTTGCACTGGCTGTTCTCTTTCCCTGCAAGGCTTCTTTTCATCCCACAC